GCAGCCTCATAACGTGGCAGGACTCACAAAAGGCACACTGAACAAAAGCTGTCAGAATAAATGCATATTAGGCTAATGGATTAAACTAAGAAAAAAAAAGCACCTCCATTTACTATAATGCTACTAACAGTCTGTCTCCATATGATAATCTATCTCTGGATATCCCCATATTTTTCATGCTTCCTGTCAATGTAAGGCAGGCTTGCAAAATATGAAGTCTTTGTTTAATGTAAGAAGACCCAATGACATTACCTTGAATGGCATTAAAGGAGCCACAGAAGACGCAAGAAGAATTCTAAACATGCAGACTTGGTTTTGCAACTCCTCATTTACCTTATGGGTCTGGACAAGTCAGTAAAACCCAAGTCAATGATGGAGCCTTCACCGGTCTAGGCACTGAGGAACAGAAGCAATTGTGCAACTGCAAAGTAATAAAATTTAATAATTTAACAGGCACACAGCAAAACTATCAAAAACGCTTATTCATGAAGATGTTAAAAACCCATAGGAGTATGCGAAAAATAAAAACTTAAAGGAGGAAAAAAATAAATACAACAACAGACTGGGAGGCTTGCTTTCCATTTTAATCAACTGCTAATGACATGCAGCAGTATCGTCCCGTAAAGCCAACAGAGATTAAAAAATGGCCGCCAGTAGTTCTTTTAAAATTTAACTGCTGTATCATGGCATCCTGTCTTTGCTTTGTCCCTAACAAAGTACTGTTAAAAAGGAAATATCAGAAGGCTGGATATGCTCTGTCACGCTAGCTTCACTTACAAGAAACACGCTAATGATCCAGTTATGTTACGACCATCTGAGGAATGTCGCCAAGATATGCTCAGTAATGATTTTTGATGGCACAAACTATCACTCATCCTTTTATTTCCCTCGCTGCTGGATTATTGTGATGGTCTCTAAACCAGTATAAATCAAAAATCAATTATTAGACTCCAAACCAAGAACAATAAACACAATGCCAATTTCAATCACGCTTCATTGGCTGTCTTATTGTTATAGGATTATCTTAAAGGTTTTACTTTAAAGATTTTCATGGACTGATCATAGGATATAAAGTCAAACACTTTCAGAAGAGCGACTACTTGGCTGCTGTTCCATACAGTAGACGCAGTATTTGGCTCCAGTTTGTGGTAAAGTTTACTTATTCAAGGAGTATACACACACACACTCACACACGTACACACACACAAACACAAACAACTACTCTGATTTAGCAGGATCTACAAATTACTGGAGATGTCTGTTATTATTAATAGGTCTGTAATTCTTTAAAATAAATATAATCAGTATTTACTACTGTAAATAATTATGTATGTATTTTTTTTCAATGTATTAGTATTGTTGTGCACTAGTTTGGCAAATATTTTCTGTTGTACATTTATCAAAATTATATCTTTTGACATTTTAATTAATTTTTTTTGAAAAATGACTAATCAGTTACAAGTTGCTAATTTGTAATTAGTAACTAATCAGGAAAATCCATGCTGGCACGGTTTTGGTAATCATGATTAGTTATTTCTCAGTTTTTGCATGTTGTTGGTAGTCCAGGAAAAGAAGAAGAATGGGCTCTACTCTCAGAGGTGACGGAGGCAGAAATCTAGAACAAATAGAAAACACAGAATTTACCAAATCTGTCAAAGCCCCCAAAGCACCCGAGTATGTGCACATGTTTCATACACTGCATTAAGATAAAACTGACACAAATGCACCACCACAGCCCACGAGCTACGTTTAAATTCTTCCTCTGTTTTTAATGGCATATCCACCTACACACCCAACCACAAAACACCTTATTGATTACAGGAAAATTACATGAACCATTTGTCTGACCAACAGCAACTGTTTGTAGTTCTATATAGTTCTACGAATAGGGTTTGTATATTGTAAGAATTACTGCAAGAATTTTTTAAAGAACTGTGTCTTTCACTTTTTTCATCTCTGTCAATTTAGTTTAGTTTTGTACCGCTTGAAGAAAGGGCTTCCCAAAACAACACATCATTATCACTATAAGAACATGAATGAAGTGCAATAAATAAAAAAAACTAATTTTAGCTACGCACAGCTTGGGTTCGATCTAACAAACAAACAAACAAGTAAGACTGCCCTCTCTATGAAAAGACGTGATTTGCCAAACCTTACCCATCACATCATCAAAAGCACTGAAAACAAAGCCAAGAAGATTTGCACAAGCCTTCACAGACTGCCTGAGCTACAATATGCTGAAAGGTTAAAATGGAATTTTCACCCAATGATGCCAAAAAAAAATATTGTGCACCACAGCTACATCCATATTGCTGAAGGTACACTTTTACTGCAAACTAGCATTTCTACTGCTTGTTAGAGAAATTAAATAAATAAAACAAAAAAGTAGAATTAGAAATATAAATATAAATACTCACTTGGTACTAGAAGTCTCCAAGAGCAAGAAATGGCACGTGTGGCTAGGTTTTTGGGCTTTTTTGTAATTGCTTTGTTCAGTGTGGGTCCATTAAAGGGCAAATGATTTTCAGTTCTGAATGATTTATGTTCAATAAAGCTACTTTGAAAGTGATTGCTAACCATAAATCATTACATATTCTACTAATTTCATCACAAGCAGCCCTGCTGCGCACATCCTCCACACCGGCAAACCCACAGAGCACACGGGCACAATCGAATCATTAAACGCAGTAGCTTAAACTTGACCTCAAACCTCAGTTCTACAAGAGCCCCATGAATGGGACCTCCACGCAACCGTGCAGCTTAAGTGGGAATAAGCACCCAAGTGTGTTCAGGGCTGTCAAACAGTGGCACTTTCAGCCAGTAATAGGCCCGTTATTAGGTGGGAGTGAAGAAACCGCAGAGTCAACAGAGGATAAAACAGAGCGACCGTTCAGGGTAAATAAGTGGCGGAAGAACCAAATCGGCAACTGGGGCATCATAACACATCAGAGATTCCTTCCCCCCCTCTCTCCTTCCTTCATTCCCTTTGCTCCATTGGCATGCTCTCCCCTCCTCTTCCAGCAACACCCGCCCACTCCTCCCTTCCCTCCTTCCATATCGCTCTCTCCCCCACTCAGCCTTTGAAGATGCTTTGTTTTCAGAGTTGCCTCTAATCTTCAAATAGGGTGATCTAATAATGGCTGTAAGAGTGTGTGTGTGTATGCGAGCAAGTTTGGATGCACTGAGCAGTGCGAGTGTGCATTAATACCTCCTGCACATGTATGCAAAATGCACACACATGGGTAAATGTGCATGTGCGTGTCTGAGCATAGCCAATGATGGAATCGTGCATGTTGATGCTCCCCAACGCAGTGCCCTCGGTGCTGTTTAGATGTCACGCTGGGCCTGTGTCTGTCTGAGATGGGTGGTGGGGGAGACAACCCTGTGTGTGCCTGTGTGTAAGTGTGTGTCACAGCATGATGGCTGGTACAGTCAACACACACAGACAGTTGGATACCAGCAGTCTCTGGAGGCAAAGAAGGGCACGAAAAAAAAAAGACAGAGAGAGCAAATGTAGAACAAAGACTTGAATGTAAAAGTAAATACAGAGTTGATGTTTTAAACTCTCTTCCTGTGAACCGAACAAACCAGGGGAATCGAGATGGAAGCTGTGGTTTTCTTTTCTTCTCCAGGACAAAATTCAAGCTCTGCATCTGACAGCAATCCTAGAATGCGCCACTTTCTGACCTCCATGTATGATACTTTCAAGCATGAATATTATGTGCATAATACCCAGAGAGACTGAAAAAAGTCAATTTACAAACTCTCTTGTCTATTCGCCCTTCTTACATCCAAACAAATGTATCCATTAGAGTGAAAAGATTGCCTTTTAGGAAGGGGGGAGACCTTGACAACGAGCTAGAACGAATACATATATAGCTGCATCCAACATCCTTTGGAGCAGTTGCAGAGGCAGCAGCAGCAGCCAAAGCCCATTTGGATAGTAAGAGAAAAAAAAACTCTCGTAAGGCAAAGACCTAATTGAATTGCTTCTGATGGAAAGAGAAGCTCAATACCCTTTTACAGGTTTGAGTAAAGATGGAGGGACGAGTGGAAGGGCATAAAAGTGGAGAGATGGAGAGAAAGCGAGAGGCGATCAGTGTGGCGGTGGGGGGGGGGGGGGTGATGACAGGGAGGAGAATAATCAAGATGGACAGACAAGGAGGGAGGGAAGGAGGAGGGAGGGAGGAGGGATGGGAAACAAAGAGAGGATGACAAAAATAGAGGGGGGTGTGGTAATGATGGAGATAGGTGGAGGCAAGGCAGAGACAGGGGGAAAAGAAATAATAGGAGGGACGGAAAACTGAGAGAAGTCCTGGTTAATAGTTTGGATTCTCACATCAGCTCATCCCTTTCTTGTTGCCTTTAAAGGAGGAAACAAGCTCGCTCTTGGCAACACAGTATGAGTAACTGATCGGGCACCAATGTGCCTGACTAACTGACAGTCTCTCAATAACAGCACTGGCCTTGGTTCCTTGAACACATCACAGACAACCTACACTCCCTCTGGCATGCAGTCCCACACAAACACACAAGGCTCCTTCAATAACAAACAAAACAAAAACAAAGCAATAAACCAGGACCCTGTATGTACACAACATCAGGCTTCCACACATGCACACACCACACTCTCGCCTGCGGCATTAAGGCCATCCTGCCACATCTAATAAACTCTGAGGATGGATTCAGTGGGACACGGCATGGTGTCCACTTTGCTCTGCTTAGACAGCATCTGTCTTAAGCCTAATTTTCAACGCGTCTGTTGTGTGGCTCAGGAAGTACAATCTGCAACTTCTTACGGCCCTTTCAATTTGTTGCAATTAAGCTCTATTGATTTCCATTTTGACTTTAACGAGCCAGCGTCACTCTGTCGCACATTTAAAGCCTCGCACGGAAAGATTCTTTCATTTTATTAGCAGCTCTCTCGGGTCACCGGTGTGAACACAAGAATGAAGTGGGGGGAGGTGCTGGGGTGGAGTGCGGGTATCGGCGTCTCTCACCAGAATCCTGTCCTCTGACTTGCCGCTCCTCATGTCCTGCTTGACGGCTCGCACAAACTTAATGGCTTGTTTGTCCAGCACCTTTCTGATGCTCTCTGGAAAGAAGGCAGAGAGGGAAAGACAAGGATAAAAAAAAGGAGCACTGATTACATAATGTAAACACATTACAGAAAAAAGGTTACAGTCCTGAGATGCTCTGAGAAATGCTTTGAAAGGCTTTCAAGAGGGTAAATTGGTAAATTAGAACATAAAGCATGATGAAAAATGGAAAGAAAAAAACGGAATAAGAATGAGATGCACCAGTTTTCTTTCCAAATACTGATTCTGAGTATCCATTCAATATAAGGGCTCTTGTTCTTCACTGTCTGAAATGCACTGATCGGGCCACTCCTGCATATCAAAGTAACATGAGGGTGACAAAAGTCAGTAGAGGGCTTCAGCTGTTAAAATGCTGTCTAAAGGTTTAGAGTGAATACTAACTTCTAGTAACTGATAAATAAAACAATACTGTGCACAAGAGGCTGCTGTCATACCCAGCCCAGAAGGGAAGTGGAATCACTAAACTGCAGTGACTCAAAGGCAACTTTTAATGTGAATTGTGATAATACAGCACCTCCTTAATACAGCGCATCAGACTGAGGAACATCTTTGGAAGAAAATAAATATAGACTAAAGTATATAATCAACCAGCAGTTATTTAAGTTGCTTTAGTCGGCGAGCCACTTTGCAACCCGCCACAAGCCCAACTCCTTTTTTTGTGCTGTATGTGTCTTGATCAGCGTCAATCAATTACTCAATCTCTTCTATGCAGAGGTGTTGCCGCTGTTGTTCCCGCCTCCTACTTTTCTTAGGCACATGGAAAAGCAGCGAGGTCCCAAACTACAGTCATGCCACACTATACATATATAAATTACTGCAGATGGCAATAATCTTCTTTTGACTACAGAGGTCTTGGCTGGAATGTGATTAAATCATGCTCCATGCTCCATGCTAAACCCGCTTAATAAAGTTCAGTATCAGTGCTGATGCCAATTCAGCACATTAAAGCTTGATCCCTAATTAACCCTTCGATGTCCAAGCACCCCAGCTATCAGGTGGGGGGGGGTTAAAACCTTTTTCATGTGTTGGTTAAAGTATTTAGGTTTCTCTTCTTTGCCAAGTCTTGAAATAAAAAGTTTCAGAATCTAAAAACCAGCTGAAATATGTGGTCATCATCAGCAGATAATGCCTCATTTGCCTCGTGTTAAGATTGAAGTCTTGTTTTTATGCAAATAAGTAAAAGAGGCTGATGAAGATCACGTGAGAGCTAAAACACTTCAAGTGATTTTGTCCAACAACTAAAAGTAAAGTGCATAGTAGTTGTGCATTTATGAAGAGGGTAAACTGGATATTTTTCAGCAACTGATGAGACAAACAAGCAGTCTTTACATGACACCTTGTTTCGGTTTTTCTTGTCATCATTTTGATGTATGGTGATGAACATGACAGACTTTGGATTTAGGACACCAACAGGTGACATATTTTTGGAAATAGTCCCAGTGCTTCTTCTGTCTCAGAGCTTTTTAAAAGCTCTAAAGATGTAGTTATCAATCAAAAAATATGTTCACATCCCAGCTAAATCCCCACGACCATCACGTCTTGTGTCTGAGGTGGATTATTCCTTAAAAGACAGCCGCACAGGGGCGAACAGTCACAGAGAAAAGAAGACAGCTTCAAAGACGCCAACATGAGGACAGGCAGACACATATGCAACTCCTAGCTGAAGAGGACTCATAACTGGACTATTTTTAGCCTCAGAGAAGAAAAAAGCAGCCCGGCTCTTCTCAACGGAACCAAACACACAATTCAGAGCTGCGGTCTTTAGGGACTTCTACCCCACCATGCCAGGCAGGCGACCCTGTGAAGCTCACTGAACCGCACCAGAGGCCTCTGCCAATTACATCCCCCCCCCCCAAACAACAACCAACATCAAAATAACATCAGCCTATAGCCTCAGTGTGGAACCACGCACATATGCCTACAAGCTGTGATATGTTCACAGCACACATCTCAAATGGGGCCATCCGTGCTAAATATGCACTCATGGAGCCCAGCAGATGGAGATACAGCGAGTCATGCTGTGTCACGACGCTCCACTCACAGTCTCCCAACTTTCCCACTGTATCAACCACACACACACACACACGCACACACAATTCTCACAGTCCCCATCCGGCAACAACCATGAAGTTGGCTCTCACGCTTGACTGAGCAGCGGCAGATGCCAGCAGGATGAGACAGGGATGGGATTGAGAGGGGGGGCACACTCAGGTAGATCGAAAGAAGGATCAGCTGAAGACAACCAGAGAGTTATTGACATTAAGCTGGGTAAGACCCAATCGCTTAAACCTTTTAACGCACTATCCAGAACCCCCCAAGGCCTGCCGGTGTGACCTCAGCATCTGTTCCCTAAAAAAGGGGCAAGGTGCGGTGGAGATGAAAAACCAGCATGGGTCAGTCCCCCTTTCCACCGTCAGTTCCCTCTAATACACCCTGCCTTTTCTGGCAGTTTGATGGATGTGCTCACTCACCTTCCCCAAGCCTCAGGAACCCCATCTCCCCCACCCCTCCCCATCTGGTCCTCCACTAGCAGGTGTGTTAATGGCCTAATACCGCCTGCCTCTTACAACCAGGCCACACAGAAGGTGCTTGACCAGGTTGAGCTGGTAAACAGCGGGACTTAACTCCATCAGGATAATTAGCGGTGAGAGACACCCTTCATCAACACTCTACCATCCAAACATGGTGTGTTCGTGTGTCCTGTGCTGTCCGATCTCTTCAGCGGGAGACACAGGCTCAGGCTTCCAGCTGTACCCATGCTGCACGAAAAGCGCTTGCAGTCACACAATAACTCCCACGCACACACGTGCAGCGAGAAAAGAAAGCCATTAAAAAAAAAACTCCTAATGAATGCACAACAAAGCCATGACGCGCTCACACGCACCGCAGCACTTGAAAATAACTCTGACAGCACTACTGGACCCGTGCGCACGATAAATTTCACCGCGGATCTTTATAACAAATCAATCCCAAAGTGAAGACTCCTGCACTGAGATCGCTAGGATTACAGTCCTCACAAGCCCGAACAGCCATTAACTGTGGTTTTGCCTTGGGGAGGCATATCCTGCGTTTCCCTGCGGTGATAACTCCTTTCAAATCAAACGCAGTGGAAAGAGGTTGTTTAAAGAGCAGCTGAGTAAAAGAAAACTACCCGTACGCGTCCCGAGAGCTGCTCTCATCCATCCTCTCGCGTTCTCGGGAGTGCTCGAAGCGGTGTTAAAAACACACTTTTCCCCGAAAAAGTCATCCCGGGTCGGGAGCTCACCTGTGATTTCCCTGTTGACGTTGGCAAAGCCCGCCGCTGTAGTCTCCTTTGAGGCCATGGTGCGCTCCTCCCGCCTGTCCGGCCCCCTTCTCCTTCCTCTCCTCTCTCAGATGTCTCTTTAAGCAATCGCTGTCCACTTCTTCCCCCCTTCTTCTTCTTTTTCTTCTTTCAGCGCCTGCAGGTGCTCCAGGCGCAGCAACAGTCCGCACAGTGTGGTGAGAAGCGATGCCGCGGTGCGCAGTGGCAAACCCGAGGAGCGCCTCCGACTTCAGCACTCAGACAAGAGAGAGAGAGAGAGAGGGAGGGAAAGGGGGGAGAGAGAGAGGTTTGAGATACTCTTCATCATCTTTAGGTCACCATCATTTGTTTGAAATAGCAGATGTACCATAAAAAATAGACAAAGGAAAGAGTCCTATTGTTAAATTGCAGAGATTCTAGGCTTCCAGGCGTCCTAATAATTTACATGTTTTAAACTGTAATAACTACACTTTTCATATATTTTTAATTGATTGATTCTTACATTCAAAGGTAATCACTTGCTGATAAATCATGATTTTGGCTAAAAACAATAACAATAGAACACTTTCTAGTCAAATCTTCAAATGTCTTTGCTGGGAAACAAAGTGAGACGGTTTTACCTTGTTTTAAGCGACAGAATCTTTGATGTGCTGTTTAGACAAAATTACTATAACAGGAATTTAGATTTGATCATTTGATTGGAAAGAAATAGCATATAGAAAACTAAGTGTGGAAACAATCAGGGTGGATTTTCAGGCTTAAATACAACCCTGAGCTCGCATGAAAAGTGGCACTGTACAGGAGTTCCTATATGTTTTGGCAAAACAAGTATGCACTGCTATGTACTCTATACATAAGGAGGAGTCCTAATAGTGAAAGAAAAAACCTGTTTTAGCATCAAATCATGCATAAAATATCTAAAGCTAAAGTGTTCATTGTGCAGAATCATATGTATTATAATAATGGGTCAGGTATGGATTCGTGAATTGTATAAACCTATACAAAACTATACATCCCTTTTAAGAAATAAAGCATTAAGATGAAAGTCAGATAAGAAAAACCTTTGTTTCTCTCAGAAGCAATAGCACTGTAAATTATAAACTAAACGAGTTTGAAATGAGATAAGAAATGAAAAAGTAAGAAACACATTCCGTAATCAAACTTGTTTAAATGTGATCACTGAATGGAAGTCACAACATCTGCTCTAGTAGATGATCCTGCTCATGAGGACCCTGAATCCTCCTGCAGGATTTAAGGCTTCCATGTGTCAAACCATTCATATGGGCTCTTGTATTCCCCTGTGTCCGACAGTAAGTAATTATTTATTTGAAGAATTTTTAAACTATAGCTCTTCTCAGAAAAGAAACGGTTTTGTGATGTCATGAGCAGAAAGCTGATATGATGCGTCTGATAAATGTGTCTTCGTGGCAATATGTCTGTAACAACGTGAGGACATCGGGGGGAATAGAGCCATATATCAAACAGTTTCATTCAGTGGCTTTCTCCTCAGAGCTGTGAGACCACCGCTCACAGCTGTGATAGGATTTGGGAAGGAGGATTGTGAGGCCAGGTTGCAGCTCAAGCTGTAAGTAACAATGACATATGATTCACCCTCTCATCTGAACGGCTGCTATTTGTCAATGTCATCGCTTATGCAACGCAGTTAGGCTGCTTTTTTCTTAGATGCAGCCTAAATTAGACACAAATTTTGAGCTCGTTGTCTCTTTTTAATATAACAAATGTGTTTCATAAAGATACAAATTAGTGGGATGTGGAGGGTGCAGCTGTTGCCGAAAATCCTAAAATTGGCCCTCCAGGGACATAAAACAAAAGTGCGCAGTCTGGTTTATGCATACATGCTTTGGTGTATATTCAGGGCTGTGTATGAGAGACCTTTGTGTCTGCATCTCATGGATACTCTTCTCTGATGAAAGAAGACCCAATGGGGGGGCATTATGCTGGAGAGAGAGAAATAGAGGGAGAGAGGGAATTGGTGGGGGCGTTAAAGGAGAAAGGTGGCGTGTGTAGGGCTTGAATAAGAGGTTTAAAATCTGGGGGCTGTAGCTGTCTCCAGGTTTCATTGGGTTAAAAACTTCAGCACTGTTCAAAGATGCACTTGAAAGGGCGATCCATTATTTATTCATCAATGCAGCATCTCGTGGATAGAAGTCGAGATGCTCAATATGCTCTCAATTACTTGTCTGTCGAGGTACGGTGTGTACGTGAATCTGCTGACATAAAACAATGCTGGAATAAAAAAAAGGTTTTACAAAGGTGCAGCAGAGTATTTCAAGCAGACAAGTGTCGTGAGGGGGAAAAAAGACACCCATTCAGTGACATCTGTTTATATGCAGACATTTGGTTGTCATTTGGCAGAGAATAACAACAGAATACAGCACAACATCTGTGCTGAGAAAAAGTGAGACACATCACAGCAGCAGTTGGAGGAATAGCGAGGCGAGGAGGAAAGTGTGTAACACACTGGAAACCGCATCCACTCTAATAGTGACTAGATGTAAAGTGTAGTCCCTGCTGTCTTTGCTCATGTTAGTGATGAGTCAAAATGATGCTTTAAAGCAGGGTTTCCATCCATTCCCAATCTCCACCTCGGGCTGAGTTGTCCTCAGCGTGTAGTATTCCCTGGTAGAGCTCTGAGGTTGTGCAGCAGAGCTGTGATACACTGCCCTCATCTGGTTGGATGCAGTAAACATCCAGCCCTAGCCCACCCCTCCACCCCCTCCCCACCCAATGAATGGGAATTTCCATTTCATGTTAGCAGAGGGCAAACTGCTGTGTCACGTACTGGCATATTCTACCACTGCAAGGCCATGTCATAAACTTTACACTTATATTATATCACAGCGGAGGAAGGATCGAACAGATCCTTAACTGAAAGGGTCACATAACAGCAGCATGTCATAGGATTCTGCAGCGAGGCCAGATGAGAAATTTTGCTGGAGGTGAACAAAAAGGAATTCTAAAGTCACAGCAAAGCATGGGAGTATCACCGTTCTCTGCATTGTGCTTCCAAATGAAACAGAATATGTGGGTCAGTTATGGTTAGGAGAGGGATCTCAATCAAATCCTTTAAATCTCACTTAAAGACACACACACGTACACAAAAACAAACGCTTCGCTTATCTGTGGTTTGAGATCAGGGCTTGAAGGACAAAGGATAAATAAATAAATTACACCCGATACTCGTTTTTGAAATTTGAATATACTCAAACGTAAAGAGCCAAATATGTACCTCTGACCCAGGACATTTCACTATCAGCCGACCCTAATCCATAGTTCACTGTATACATTTTAGCATGTGACGTCGAGTTCAGTATCACTGTGACCCTTACAGAAAGAGCAAACAGACAAGAATGATGGTGTTAAACACACAGAAGACAAAGATAATCTGTCACTTTCAAAATATTCTAACACTTCTTCATTTATCTGTCAGTAATATCCCAGCCTATCGGGATCTTATCTTGGGTCGCATAATACAAACCCTTTTCTAAACATGTTCTAAACATCTGTAACATGTAAATAAAAACAGAGTGCAATGATTTGCAAATCTCATAAACCCGTTCCTCACAATGGAACACATAAAACGTATCAAAAGTAAATTGAGGAAATGTAACTTTTTCAGAAAAATATTAGCTCGTTTTGAATGAACAACACATCTCTGAAAAGTTGGGACAGGGCCTGGTTTACACTGCGGAGCATCTCCTGTTTTTTCTTAAACATCTGGGAACTGAGGAGACCACTTTCTGGATTTTTGGGAGAGGAATGTTTGTCTGATATAAGTTTCTAGCTACTCAACAGTCCTGGGCCTTATTGGTTGTATATATATATTTTTTATTTTAAATGATTAATTTATTTGTTTGCTTTATGATGGGCCAAATGTATTCAGTAGGTGAAATGTATGGACCGCAAGTGGGTCAGTTCAGCACCCAGCCTCTTCCACTTTGTAGCTGCAGTATGCAGATTGGCATCGTCTTGCTGAAATATGCAAGACCTTGCTTGAAAATGCCATTATCTGAGAGCATATGTTGCTCTCTTTGAGTATTGATGATGGCTTTCCAGATGTGCAAGCTGCCAGTTCCATATGTACTAAGGTACTGCCAGACCATCAAAGATGCAGGCTTTTAAACTGAGCCCTGATAACAAGCTGGATGGTCCCACTGTGAATGATGTGCAGTCCATGTTTTCCAAAAGGAATTTCATATTTTGATTTGTCGGACAACACAGAAGTTTTCCACTTTGCCATCTAGTACTGATTCTGAGCCGTGTCCCTTGCACACAGAGATTTCTCTGCACGCATTATACCCTAGATCAGGGGTGCCCAATCCCGGTCCTCGAGAGCTACCGTCCTGCAGCTTTTAGATGCATCCTTGTTCCCACACACCTGAATCAAATGAATGGCTTGTTATCAGGCCTTTGCCAAACATGATGGCATGCTGAAGAGATCAAACCATTTGATTCAGCTGTGTTGGAGTAGGGATGCATCTAAAAGCTGCAGGATAGTAGCTCTCGAGGACCGGGATTGGGCACCCCTGATCTAGATGAACATTTATTTAGTCTTTGGTGAGGAACATTATTCTGAAATTGTTAAAATGTTTCAATGCAGTCTTTTCAAGATTGGTGAACTTCCGCCTGTTTTCACTTCTAAGAGGTTTGACTCTCTAAGACGCTCTTTTTTTTACCCAGTCATGATGCCGACCTGTTACAGGTTAACTTAATTATCTGCAAAATGTGCCTGCAGCTGTTTCTTTTCAGTAACACTTACTTTTCTTGCCTTTTGTAGCCCTCGTCCCAACTTTTGTGAGACACATTGTTTGAATCAAATTCAAAATGACCTTTTCTTAAAATATTAAAATGGCTGACTTTAAACATGAGTAATTACATTTTACACTTTTTGGAATTGGGTTGGTAAATAACATAGGATGGGGGGGGTGCTTAAAACTATTCAAGAGAAGAAAATCGCTGACTAGGGCGCAACTGTCAATTTATGTTTAATTTAACATACTGGGAGATATCAGTTAGGGAAAACTCATCTCAAAAGGGCCCTCGTTTTTTGTTTTTTTTTGTTTTTTAAAGTAGTATTATTGTATAAAATATGAATTTGAAAATCACATGAGGTTCAGATAGGAAAGACTTGCCATGACACCATTTCATTTAGAGTGTTTTGGTACAGATTTTGGATAACAACATTAGGACAAAGTGAATCATTAGTACTGTTCCAGT